CTTTAATATTGTAAAATAACTCACAAAGCCTTTAAACAGGAATTCTTGGAGGAAAAATACACACATATACTCATACATACATACGTGCTATATGTGTCTGTGGGTCCAAATACAATAAGATTTGAAAACTCAACCTTTAAGTACAACTATAATATTAAAATCTTCTAATTTAAGAGTGTCTAATCCTATTAAAAACCTCTAAATAGTCCTTCTGGATTTTCCAGACAGGCTTTTAGCCAGTTTCTTCTTTTAGCTTTGTAACTGAAATAACAAATTCAGACACTGACGAACTGTGAGGCTTCTTTTTAAGTTTCCCTTAATAACATAAATTTGAAGTGATTTTTTCAGCATACAATTCAATTCATGCTTTTAGAAGACAGTCATTGAAGAGTTCATCATGGACTATAGTAAGCGAATAGGATAATGTTTAAATCTAACCTGATGGTGAAGGCCAACCTGGTAAAAAAAAAGTCCTATAAAACTGTATAGGCCTTAATTGTTTTTATTTGCTGTCAACTGATGATAGGTTCTAGGTTCGAAGGCCGTGGAGATCTGAGACAAGGAGAACTTGGGCAGATGACTTTGTGGGACCAACCGAAGTTAAGATAAATTGTAGGTTTCTCTCAAGACCCCTCCTAGGGCGTAAATGAACCCCATTGACTGGGGCTGGCAGTAAGGTATTGCGTCTTCTCACCTGGTTTGTGTGGATCTGCCTCAGTAAAACATATTTCCTACCCAGACTTAAACATTCGTTAGCCATGTGCTGCTGGGCCTTGCCACTTCGTCACAGGTTAATAGGGCTTCTGGGATTTTAGACAACTCCTATAGTTACAGCGGAACACTGGTAGTGTTTGCTATTGATTTTTATCCCATAATGTCAACTTCTTCCTGTCCCCCACACACATACTATCCTTTACTCCTTTTCATATTGACGCTCAGTGTCTTTTCAAAATGACTCTAATATATTCAATATTAATAAGATGTCATAATAGTACACATCCTGAGAAAGCAAAAGGAAATAAAAAATCTATCTTTTATGTGCCTTTATTTGGAAATAACCCAGAATCCTTTTTTTTTTTTTTAAGCAATAGGTGGCACTACGGATTTCTGGCAATGAACTGGTTCTATATATCTAAAATATACAGACATTCATGTGGAAAGCGTTCAGTGATTAAGATTCCTCCCCACCCCACACCACCACCAGGAAAGGTGTGATCATATGGCCCTAGCCATTAACTGAAACATCTGTAGCTTAATCAGTGAGGTTTGTTTTAATATAAATTTACATGCTATTAAATAGGTCTTTTTTTCTCATTACTTATAAGTGATTCCAAGGAGTTACATAGGTTATGGAAGACATATAATTTACAGAGGTTTAAACTACACTATAAACGCTGTCTCAGAGTTACTGACATTAGTTTGTACGCAACAAGTAAAAGCTGTCAGAGAATTGGAAATTGAAGCACACATTTTTAACCTGGTGTTGTGCATCTAGTTGTAGGTTTTTAAATGTTTTTATTTCCTGTGTTATCCATGAGATATCTTTTCAAATCTATGTCCTTTTCATTTTTCATAGCATGGTCCTAGAAAGAAAATTAGTTTTGAGAGCCAAACAGACCTGGATTAGACTCTAGACTCCATCATCTACTAGGGCTGAAAACCTTGGCAAGAGGGTTGACTTAAACAAGCCTGGGTTTCTTTGTTCCTAAATGATGCCTGTCTTTAAGAACTGTGGTAAGAATTCAGTGCTACTACTGTGGCTGGCCAGTACCTGGGATGTAATTGGTATCCAGTTAGTTTCTTCTCCCTTTGTTGATTTCAATTTAAACATTGGGTTAAGTGAAAAAACAAGGTTAGGCAGGGAAGACTATTTTTAAAAACAAATTGAGAAGTGTATATATTTTTTAAATAGCTAAAATATCCTAATTGTCTACCATGTTTGCTTACTTTCATTATCTTTCTCTTTGGTTAAGACATTCTAAAATCTAATAGATGTTATTCAGTCCCAGTTGTTCAAGTTCAGAGGTTTGGTTACCGTAACTGTGGAAAGAAGGCTGTCAGGATGTGCACAGAGTCTCAGCTTCCTTACATCTGCTGGGATGTTAGCTAGCATCCTGTATCCTAAGTATTCCTTCCCAGGTACATAGAAGTATAGCTAAGCAGCTCTGAGTATCTCAGGTATCATCTTATTTGATCTTCCCTCCAAAAAGTTTATGTTGCTTCTGTTTATTCAAAAAATCTTTGATAAAGGTACTAGCATTGTTCTCTCTTGTCTGTTTTCAAAAGAGCTAGTACCATTAAAAGCTGTTTGCCGTTCATCTTACTGAAGGAAAATAAAACTGATTCTTTTTCTTTGGCTTGAACACTCAGTGTCCTTCCACACAGTGGCACCTGCAGGGTTATCAGCAAAGTTAGATAAGTAACTGAATTGTTATTTCCATGAATGCTTGGTACATTTTTTTACTCGGAGTATACAGCAAAAATTATTCATGCTAAGGTATAGTAATCAAAATGACAAAAAAAAGCACATTTTTATCATTCCAACAGAACCATAGCTGTGGTGCCATACTATCATAGTACATAATAATAGAAATGAATTATGTCAGTAAAATCTTGAGGTTTAAGATTTACCATGATAAATATTTTTCATTAAAGTGAAATATCTTGGCAGAGTCACTTTCATATGCAGACTGTTGACACAAGGAGGCCAGCTGTGCCCATGCAGATGCTGAGATTTGGGTCTATATTATTAATGATTTATCATGTCATGGAGAGCTTAGATTAGTTTTGAAAGCAATCCCTTGCCACAAAAGCACTTTCTATAATGTGCGAACGCAAGGAATACTGTATGTGCATTCCAAATGAAAGTAATCACAGAAGTTGCAGCTACCTTTGAAATTTCAGTACTTCTATCTTTTTATTTTGAAACATGAAATGCTACATCTTAAACAGTATTATTCATTGAAATTCATAAAAAATGTTATTTCATATCAACTGGTTAGTGAGTAGTGTATCTGAATTAATAGGCATACACAAACTGATAAGGGAATGAGGAGATGGAATGAAACACAAATGTACTGCAAATGTATTGTGTACCATATGCTCTCACCCCGAGTCTCACATTTAATGTGAGGCTGGATTAAGTTTCTAATCCAAGTGGATTCCAAGATTGCACTGCCTTCAGGGCTTGTATAACAACACTGGCTAATATTTATTCAGTGCCTGCTGTGTTCCAGGTAAGATGCTCAACATTTGACATGCATGATCACATTCGGTCTTCATACAGTCCATTTGAAGTACTGTTATCAAACCTGTTTCACAAATGAGAAGACTGAAGCACAGTATAGCTAAATAAGGTATCTGAACAGGGAAGAAACCTGAATTTGAATCGAGGCCTCCTGGTGTTCCAAAACCTTGATATGAACTACTCTTATTAAGTGTGACCTCACTCTGAATCCCTGGGGTTCAGATCTACTTAATTACCACTTGCGTGACCTTAGGCAAGTCATTTAACCTCTCTAAGCCTCAGTTTCGTCTTCTATAAAATGAAGATAGTAATAGTACTTTGTAGAATTGCTGTGAGTTAATATTTGTAAAATGCTTAGAACAGAGTTTTGTATATATTTACCACTAACTTTGTTTACTAACTTTAATAGTTATGGAGTTGTCCTCTCACATGATTGGTAAGCTTTCATTGACCATTACACACAGAGTTTCTATAATTTTCAGATAGCTTTTATTCTCAAAACCAGATTGGGAATAAGAAATAGAAATAAAATTCTGAACTTCACTCCTAAAGAAAAAAAAGACTGTAAATTAAGTTACTACTTATCACTGATGGGAAATGTAGGCAGATAACACTAAAGCATAATCACTAACTGTCTATAGCATTGAACTCCGTAAGTATTCTTCTGGGTGTGAAAAGAACCATATATTTTTCTTCCTTCCTTCCCTTCATTATTCACTCATTCAGCAAACATCCTTACATGGGTACTGTGCTGGAGACACAGGTGACTAAATTCCTACTCCAGAGGAGCATACAATCTAGAGATGACTGTTCCCTCTGGTTTAGCACACAGAAGAGTGGGAGGAATTTGTGAGTTCCATTATCAGATCTGTTAACAGGATCTTTGCCCATTAAATGCCAGGCACTGTGCTAGGCAGTGGGGCTGTCCAAGTAAATAAGACAAGATCCCTGCACTGAAGAAGCAGCCAGCAAGGAAGGTATCTCCAAACAGATATTTTCCCTTCAATTTGATGAGTTGTGTGAGTTTTCTAGGAGAGCACAGAAGAGAGGTTTTTACATCCATCCCGGGGGCTAGTGGAATGAGGGAAATTTTGACACCTATGTGAAATTTTTGTTAAAAGACAAGAAAAGCAGAAATTAAAGTACATGAAATTATGGGGAAAGAGTACCCCAGAATGCAGAGACACCATAAGCAAAGACATGGAGACCTGAAACCGTATGACATGGGGAGGAACTGCAAGAAGCAGGCAATGATAGGGCCAGAAGCATAAGGTGAGGGGAAAGTTGAAGTAGAGAAGTGAAAAAAAGGCTAACAGGTTAAAAGTGTATAAAATCAACTGAAAGGCCCAAATGCTAATAAACTGGAGAAAAAGCATTTCCTGACACTTCTTTCCCTTAAAATACAAATAAAAGGTGTCATTTTCCTGATGGTCCAGATTCTGGGTCCCTGGTAAATGATGAGTCCTTAAGAGTAATATTTTGATCTTTAACCAGAAGATAAAGGAAGGGTACCATTCTTCCCATGTCAGTGGATTGTACACACCCAGTGGATTAAACATAGGGATTGGCTCTAAAGTCTAGACTGAAAACATGTCTAATCCTTGGCTCAAAATGACTGATTAGCATATCCTTCTGCAACCTACAAGTATTTTATTCCTGGATTTAAGAACTCAGTCTAGGGTAAACTGCTGTCTCTGGGGTGGTGCTCTATAAAGTTGGCCATCGTGGAATTTCAAACAAGTATTCAGTAATCTAAAGAAATGAATTTTTATTTTTTTGCTGTTACTGCAGACCTGGAACAAGTCAAGCTTCGTGCCTCCAGGTGGGTGGCAATTTGATTCTCCTCAAGCTGCAGGGCACCCCTTTGCATCTTCTTTCAGTGCACAGGGCCCTCTGCCTGCAGCGGGGCTTGCTCCCTGGAAGGGGAAAACACGGAATGACTGTATGCCAGTAAAGCAGGAACAGCTTTCTGGGTCAGAAGTTGGCTGGGGAAGGGCCCTGACTGCCAAGTAACTTGCAGTGATGTCAGAGCCCAGCACGACCAGAACACACCAGCCAGCCAGCCAACAAAAGTCTTAACACCAACAGAAAAATCACAGAGCTGTGTTGCCAAAGCTGTTCCTTCCGCCCCCTACCCTTTTCTTCGAATAGGAAGAACAGCAGGAAGAGAGGTTATATTTAAAAGACTCCCCCTCCTCCTGCCTCCTTCTTCCTTTTGGTAACAAAGTGTTACCCAGTGAGGACTCCGTTCTCCGGGTGAGTCCTGCAGCAGTGCCTGAGGGTGCCTTTCTTGGGTTCCTTTTCAGTGCTGTCAGTGGAAGTTTTAGAAACAACTCAGCACCGGTATTTTTTCCTTCATTTAAACATGTAACTCTGTGCTGGGAAGAAAGCAGGAACCACTGAGAAAAGGAAAATCCTTTTTCTGCCCCTTTCTCTCTTTCACGGTAATTAACCACATGCAAATGAAAATTTAAGTTTGGCGAAAAAGCTCTCCTCTTTCTTTTTCTTTAAGTAGGGGCATCATGGTTCACCCCAGCCCGTGAGAGCCCTCCGGGATTCATAATTCAGCTGGAGATTAATAAAACACAACCCGTTCTTGGAAATGAAGTTTGGATTAAAATCCTCTTGTTTTGGAATATATGAATATTTTTATTTTCATTTTTTTTTTTTTGCTTTCACTGTGGCAGTCAATTTTAAATGATGTCACTTCAAGGACATTTTCATTTCTCCCACAACATATTACACGACACACTTGCCTGTAAAACCGGTTCATTAGCCTGCGAAATTATACTGTACTGAATGGCTTTCATTCAAAGTAAAAATGGGATTTTTAGTAGGCAATTTCTGTATTTTATAAAGATAAAGCAATGTTTGATTGCTTCTTCCCAGCTGTTTTGCTTAGTGGTTATAGGGAAATTAGAGGGGGTGGGGGGACAACAAAGGTAAATGGGGCGGGTTGGTAAGGATGTGCTTAAAAAATACATCGCAGCTTAGGAAACTTAAGGCAGAACTTCACGGAGCAACTGTGCTTGCAGCTCCTCTGGGCTGCACCGATTTGTCCTCTGGATGCGTGAAGGAAAGCTGTGAAGAAAGGAAGGAAACGAGAAAAAGAGGGAAAGCGAAAAGGCTGCTTCGCAGGCTGCATCAGCCCTCGCGAGCTGCATGACTGAGGCGCTCGCAGGGAGTTGCTGGAAGGAGCCGCTCTTAGGAGGCGGAGAGAGGGAGGGTGCGCAGCCGAGCTCCCGGGAGGAGGGACACGGAGGCCACCGCGGGGTCAGCAGGGCCGAGGCGCCGGGCCGGGGGCCTCCAGGCGGCGCTGGCCACGGGCTCGGGCGAGCGCGGTGGGCCGCCCGCGCCTCCTGCCGTCTGCGCCCTGGGGTGGGCCGCGAGCCGCCGGGCGCGGGGAGGGAACCAGGCTCCGGCTCGCCTGACCGACTGACTTGGAGATGGATCGAATTACACCATTTGCCGTGCCTAGATTTGTTTTGCTCCCGCGCCGTCCCGCTGCCGCTGCTGCGAGGACTGGTGGTGACGAGTTTCAGGATTATATCGAGGAAGCCAAGACCTAAAGAGACAGAGGAAATATATCTGTATTTCTATTTTTTCTTTTCTTTTTTTCTTGCGCATGACAAGATTTTTTTCCTACCAGCCTTTTCCCCCATGAGGTAAGACCGTCTTATAAAAATTTGCTGATGCTCTGGGCGCCCGGTGAGGATGGGACCCAGATCCCCAGATCCCAGATCCGCAGCCGGTGTGTGTGCGTGTGTGCGCGCGCGCGCGTGTGTTGTCACTGGAGAGTTGATTTCCTTTCCAAGCGGCTCTCTCCGCCTGCCGTGCCAGGGACACGCAGAGGGCTGGAGAGATTTGGCGGACCCGTCAAACTGGCATTGCTGAGGGCGTGGGGGAGGGGCACGTGTCCTCGGAGGCCGCCCCACTGGGCACCCACCTCGGGGGGGAAAGGCGAAGCAAGCAAAAGTTTCTTGCCAGGCAGCGCCAGCTCCGCGCTCCCCCGCGCGTTATCAGGGCAACCCGGGCAGCTTCGGTACCGGCACGGCGTCTCCAGCCAGCGCGAGGCGCGAGCCAAGGCCACCCCCTTCCGCCTGCCGGGCCCGGAGCCGCCGCGGGACCGTCGGGGTCAGGCAGCGCGGGGCCCGGCTGGAGGCGGCCCGGCGAGCCCTCGCCCGCGCCAGCACACGGGGCGCAGCGCCGACGCCGGCTGCCCGTCAGCGCGCCCCCGGTCGGGTGGCCCCGGGAAGCGCCGGCGGCGAAGGGAGGGGGCGCGGAGGCTGGCCACCCCGTCCCCGGCTTTGGCCCCGGCCCCGGCCCGGAGGGCGGCCACTTCCCACCCTTCCTCTCCCCCTGCCGGCCGAGCGCGCCGCGGGCGGGCCCCGGGGCCGGGAGCTGCCCCCCGCCCGCCCCCACCTCCCTCCCGGCGCCCGGGTTTCTCCTCCGGGCCACTCTCCCCCGCAACTTTCCGTGCTTTGTTCTCGGGCTGGAAATGATTTACGGAAGCGTCTTGGACAGGGTCTCCGCCAGGCGGCAAGAGCCCAGCGCCGAGATGTGTTACGTTCTCATCTACCCATCAATTATGGATGGAAACAAATAAGGAAGAGTCAGTTTTGCACGAGCCCCTTTCCGGCGGCGAGAGGCGTCCTGCAGCCGGAGGGAGCCGCCGCTCGCGTCGCAGCCGCTGGCAGGGGGATGGTGAGGAGGAAGGTAGGGGAACTTTTATTTCCCGTCTTGACAGCGGTGATGTTTGCTCCTGGTCTGCGGAAACTGATACAGCCGCCGCCCTGGGTGATTTGGAACGGCTTAAGGCTTCCTCAGTCGTGTTTAACTTTTGGATTGAAATAAAAGGTTGTAAAGGACTTGAAGGTGTGGATGAAAACTGGGTTTGAAAATTTTCTGCCAAATCGATTCTCAGGACCGCTGCTGTCAGGTAATTGTTTAAATCCTGAACTTGTAAAGAGCGGAGCGATGCGGGGAATGAAGTAGCGGTAATAATTACAGCACTAGAGGAACTATGGAGAGTCCGCCCAGCGCTGAGGTGACCGGTCAGTAAACCAAGTTCCAGCACCCTCGCCCCTCACCGCTCTCAGCTGGGTGATTTTCACAGAAGGGACTGTAGATCATTATTATAGATACACGGAATTTCTAGGCAGTAATTGGTCCTTACGTCCACCACTACCAGCAAAGGCTTTGCCTTAAAAAAGCAGTTGTGTTTCCAGTTACTTAGGAAAAGAAATGTCTAGGGCAATTTTCCCAAGAACTTCTGGCTACTCAGAATAGTAAGTTTGCTTAAGTAAAAAGTATAGGTGCTCTATAAGGATTATTTTTCCCTCTGCTTGACACTTTAGGCAATAAAGTAGATTCTTTTGTTTATTTCAAGGCTAAAGTCCTAAGGAAAGGTTTAACATTTTTCTGAGCTGATTTGATCTCTGTCCCTCGGAACAAGAGAGAGCATTTGTTTGACAAATTTTTTCAGGGTTTCATTCATGTAGAATTGAGAAATCTCAGCTCAAGGTGAAGATTGTACTATCCTTTGGTGCTTTACAAAATAGGTCTTGATGCTGGTTTATTCTTGTTAGAAAGAAATCCCCTTCCTCTGTTAGGTTTCTAACTCAGAAATTAAGTTGTGTGTAGTCATGTTTAATGTAGTGAGTGACAGGCATATTCTGTCATACTGGCAAATATTACACAAACATTTACCCTGGCTTAGATAAACAGAAATGGCCAAAGAAGCTCTGAGATTTGGGCCTCTATTACCATGAACTTAAAACATCCTAACATAAACAAAGTATAGCCCAGCCGTAACTGAATGTTGTCTTCTATAGTTAGTGTCTTTGTTTTGATTTAGGTCCCTGGAAATGTACTCTCAGACATTTAAGTAAATAACCCTAAGACTTCGAAAATGTGTTGTTGAGCAGACCATTTTCTTCCATTGGCACGTTTAGTTAGATTAACTACCAGCTACTATTTCTTATTGGATCCTACAGAATATTGCTACCTATCCTCATTTGTCCTAGGGATGCTGAATAGATTACCTTTTTTGAGGGATATTTCTGTGATGCAGAACAGTGTGCCAGGAATATTGTGACTTCCTCATCATCAAACAGCTGGTTGACTCGAGTTTGATGTAGATAGCGGGCATTCTGCCCTCTTCCTTTTTTTTTTTGGTGCCCTCTAATAGCACCATCTGGTCATGTCTCCCTGGTTTGATGGATTTGAAAAGATGTCTGTAACATAAACCTGTTAGTCCTTAGAGTGAGAGAAACTGAGAAATCCATGGACTTCAGTTCACTGGCTGCTTCCTGCACAGGAAGAATTCTGCCCAGTAATTGTGCTCTGGGTAAGTGGGCCCCTGAATCCTTGCCCCGTGTTGTTTCTATTGCTTGAGAGGCACCCGGGCAAGTAAGCAGGAAGCAGAGCTTTGATTCACAAAAATGCTCACAGTTGTTAAGGACTTATTGAAACTGAGGAAGTTCTTCACTTCTTGCTGCTCCATCATCATAAACCTTGGTAATTAGCTTAGTCATTGTTCTTGCATGGGAGTTTCACTAAGCTAGGAAGAGTGAAAAATGCGTCTGAAATGGGGCCATCTTTCACCCTTCTGATGCATTTTATGCAGAGTTAAGAGGCTGGCTGGATGCCCAACTGTTATTGGTGTAACCATAGGAGTGAACACCTTCCTTAGCATATTGCAGGATAAAATATTACCTTTTGTTTCAATTAATAGACTTTAAGCCTGCACATTATGGATTCATTTCTAGAGGAAGCAAAAGGCACTTGGGGTATGCCAACCAGTCAGTATTTATTGAATACCTGTCGTTTGCAAGGAGCTATGCTAGCCACTGTTCCAACACCAGGTGAGGGAGACATTGTTTCTGTATGTTCAACTTACTAGTAAAAATGCAAAGAAATAGAAAATGGCCAAATGAATCATTTGATGAGAAATGTAATTATGCACCCTTTTTTGGGGGAAGCATATTATTTCATACTAAAACTTTAAGGCAAGATTATCCAAACCAGTTACAGTAAGCCAACCTTCCTGCCTTTAACACTAATAATTCAATGTACTAATAGTGTAATTCACATACTGAAACTCCCCTTCGAGCCGGAGATCTCACTTTCTGAGGCTGATGTGAATGGAGATTTAGCATTAAAATCTACCAAAGGCAGTTTCTTAGGTTGCCACTTGTTTTGTGAACAGCTGCCAACTTCCAGTTGGAAAAAAAGTGTGTTTTGAATTACTCCCATGACACTTGGAGTGACTAAAAGTCATGTAACTATATTGAGCATACCATAACTCTTTTCAGTTCGGATGTCTATTGTTGGGCTGACTTTTCCTGCTTAGATTCTGGCAACAGTGGTGCTGCCACTGGAATTGAAGCTGCTTCCATTCATCCCAACAGGAAAACTAGGAAATGTTCTCACTTTGAGAAGCAACTGTTTATGTAACCAAGGGCGATCAAATCCGTGGTCCACATAGATACCACATGAGGTGTACTTATTTCTCAAACTTCTCTTTTCTATTAAGCTTTTGTTAACTCACCCAGATTAGCATTTTAACAACCCCAAAAGTGAACTTCTGCCATTCTCTCTACTTGGACACACTTTGTAGATCATCCATCATCCTGTCCTTGGCTACAACAGGCTGCTGGCTCCATCACCATTTGGAGCTACACAGAATCCATCCGACTGTGAACAGCACAGCTGGCTACAGCAATTTTTTCTTCCACACCACTGGCAACATTGTCTGGCTGTGGTAACTAAAGTTAACACCCAGAACGGGAAGTTTCCATTTGGCAACCTTTGCTGGACCCCTTATCCAGATCTGGGGGTTCACCTGCAGAAAGGCTCTGCTGACTTGCAGTGCTGTGCTGTGCTGTGCAGACAAGGGGACTTGCCCCAACCTTGCGTGAGCCACACAAAAGCCTCATTAGGCTTGATACGATTAAACCACCAGAATTACAGAATTTGAAGGGGCCGTTCAGACACCACTCATCCTAGACCTTCAGAATTCAGCTTGTTTGAAAAGGAGAAGAGAGGAATGAAATAGCCTTTAACCTGTGATCCTAAATGACTAAACACCAAAAAAAGAGCTTGTCTAGTCCTCTGGAGAACTGAACAGGTCATTGTTTTGTCCCTTTTTACCGAGAACATGTGATGTACCTAAATCTGGGACCCATGTCTAATAGTATCCAGTGCTTTAGATCCCATGTTTTTGTTTGTTTTCTTCTTTTTACTCCATCCAGTATCTGCTACAGTAGTCCTTGCTTGTTAAGGCAAGATCGGCATGGATTAGGTAGCTGCATTTGTTAAGTCATGACATCAAGCTTTAAAAAGAAACCTCTTACAATGAGAAGTACTGCTTTTGGAGTTTGATGGGGGAAGGAGAGCCCGCCTCATATTCTGGAGGGGGGTAGCCTTTTCACTTCTTTCCCTGACACTTCCTAAGAAATGACCCACAGCACAGCTGGGAGGATATGATGGTGAGGGTGACTGACGGAGAGGAAGAGGAGAAATCAAGAGGCAACCACCATGCCTCACCCGTGCTGTTGGTCTGCTCACTCAGTTCCAGGCTGTACTAAGGTCTTGATCTTGAGTATATCATGTAACCTTCAGATACCTGTGTAAGCTGGGTTCTGTTGTTATCACTACTTTATTAGAAAAGAAACTCAGGCACCTGAGAAGTCAGGTCATTTTCCTGAGGTCACCCAGGAGGAGGTGGCAGAGTCAGGGTTTGAACTCAAGTCTGCCTCCCATTTCAGCCCACCTTTCTAGCCCTGAACAGAATTGTTTCTGGGACCATGGACCACCCTGCAATTTGCTGACTCTGATATTTCTGACTTTTGTTTTTCAGTAAGAGTCATACTTTGAGGGAAATTTTTATACTAAGAAAAATGATATGTGCAGTATGGGTATGCTTCTAAACTAAATCATATTGTTGCATTCTTTCATTTTTATAACTGTTGGCCAAATCATTATGGCACACCCTTCTTTTCAAGTGTTCCTAGAACAGCATCTTCTCCCACCATCTTTCTCCATGTTAGACTTTCCTGTCCAAATGACAGTTTCATAGGACAAATGGCAATATTCACTACTCTCCACCAAGAAGTGCTTCCACATCGGGGTACAGTTGACATTCATTCTCCTGATCTTGGCAGGTGAGATCCATTATGTATCATTGTCCCATTTTCCAGGAGTATTTATGGGCCCCATCAGCCAAGACAGTGAGAGCTGCAGCTGTGCAAGCATTCATGGCACCACCATGGAAAGTGTGTTTCTGAAATTTGACTGTGTATTATATTGTAGGATACATTTTTCTTCGTAAGAATTCAATTCTCAAAGGATTGCAGGAGAATTCCTTTTACCTGTACAAGTAATCAGACCATTGTCACCTGTATAGCAGCATTTTGTTGTTGTTCTTTATTCTGGAATCCTGTGGGAGGGAAAAAATATATATATTACCACTCCATATAATGCTGAAATGTAAGGTTTTCAACATATGTTCAGGGGAAGGAAACTTGGGTTTTAAAAGTCCAAAATGTTGGTACATGCGTAATAAGGCCTTGGAAGATCTGCCATCACTTAGCCTATTACTGGAGTCTGTATTTAAAAATAAAGTCAGGAGTCTCTACTCAGCCGACCAACTGGCACATGTGAACCAGAACAGATGAAGCCCTTTGA